ATCCTGCTTCCATTTTAAACCCAAATATGGGAATGCAAGATGCTCGGCGCTCTGCAGATTTATGCTTTGAACAATGAGATAAAGCAAAAGCAGAAAACTCAGCCCCTCTGAGCTCCGCTTAATTCTTATTTCACTTTTGCTTTGAATTATTATCAAATCCACAGCTTTCTCCATGAAGAGCTTCCCACAGAGCGTTAACGGTCTGTCCGGGCTAATGTCAGATGGGATAGGTTAGCCTTATCAAAATATCTGCTGGTCCCTACTGCTTCTCCCGATGGATCTTAATTACAGAGCAATTAAAAGTATTATTCCAATCATTTTAACCTCACACATTTCAAAAATAGGCATTACACCCACCCAGGGGTTTCTCATGGTCTCAGCGACAGGACTTGTTGGGCTTGACCTCTGACATGACACATTTCCTGCTCATTGGAAAAGTTTGCAAATTTGCAGCTGCCAGAAAAATTGTTTCATTAGAAATCCAGTAATTATACAAATTAGCACACAAGCAAACCTCCTCTTTAGAGGTTACGTGCCATATTGACACAAGGTCGGGGCATAGTTTCAATACCACACGCACTCGGAAAGCAAGTAGAACGGGTAGGTAAGTTTGATATGGAGAATTATTCCACCAGAACCCACTAATGATAAAACTGGAGCAAACCGGCTTCCAGCTGCCCCTGCCACGTGCTTTGCAGGAGCACACGCTTTCCTTTTGAGAGCTCACGGACCACAAAGTACGGCTACAACATAATCCAGTACTCGCTAAGCATCAATCCTCAAGGGATGCACAACAACCTCTAAAGGACGAGGAAGTTTTCAACTGCGTTAAGGATTTGCTTTATCGAAAAAATAAATGAGTAAGAGAGGACTGTCACCGAGACTAATTACACTTGGTAGCACGGTGCGTGGTTTCCCCCACTCAGAGGGGTCACTTCATCCTTCCTCAGAACACAGCCACCAGTAGGATGCAATGACGTACCACACAGGAATTAAAAAAAGGATGTAGAATAAAAAAAATATTATTACATTTTCCATGGGATTAACGTCCATTCTCATTAGAGACTCCTCTACTTTTTTTTTTTTTCCTTCGTTTGCTAGACAGCTCCTCCAAGACAAACAGCAATTTATTTGTTCCCCGAGAACCCCGGGTCTGAAAGCTGCAGCCATCTGTCAGCGGGAAGGAGCTCGCCGTAAACAGCTGCTTTCTCATCCAACCCTTTCTAGACCTCAGTTTGCCACCCCAATTATTAAATGAAACCAAACAGCCTTTAGGTACACGTATCTACAAAGTATTTTGAAGCACAAGGTCAGACGTGCAGAGCGCAGCAAGTAGGCCAACCAGCAAAGCAGCTCTTGTGCTCCGAGAAGTGCTCCCCGTGGCCCCAGGTGTTCGTATCTGCTTTGCCAAGAGAAAAAAGGGAAAGAGGTCTCATGTAGACTTCATGAAATGCACGGCAGAAGGTCTACTGAAGCATCGCTATCGTATAATTCAAACTCCCAAAGAAAATGGACGGAGGGCATTCCCTTCCTTGGGCAGCCACCAAGCCATTCCCGAAGACCATGAAGTTCAGACCTGTGCTTACTAAACCCCACAGAAGGACACCAAACCTCCCTCATTTGTTGAGGTTCAGCCTCAATCGCTTGAGGCACTTGGATCTTGACAGCTGTCTCCAGGATAAAAATGAGCCATTTGGATTTTGTTCTTTTCCCCCTAGGTCTCACCTTCTTGTGCGCTGGCAGCCCAGAAACCAACCCTACCCTGGGCTGCATCAGGAGAAGCATGGCCAGCATCGAGGGAGGGGATTCTGCCCCTCTGCTCTGCTCTGGGAACACCTCCCCTGGAGCCCTGCGTCGTGGGGGGGTTCAGCCTGGAGAAGAGGAGGCTGCGGGCAGAGCTGAGTGCGGCCGGTCAGGGCTTAAAGGGGGCCCAGAGGAAAGGGGGGGACAAGCTTTTTGGTAGGGCCAGCTGTGACAGGACAAGCGGGGATGGCTTTAAACTAAACCAGGGTAGGTTTAGGCTGGATCTAAGGCAGAAATTCTTTCCAGTGAGGGTGGTGAAACCCTGGCAGGGGTTGCCCAGAGAGGGGGTGGAAGCCCCATCCCTGGGAACATTCCAGGCCAGGTTGGACAGGGCTGTGAGCAACCTGATGTGGTTCAAGGTGTCCCTGCTCCTGCAGGGGGGTGGGACTGGGTGACCTCTAGGGGTCCCTTCCAATCCAAAACATTCTACGATTCTATGAACCTCATCAAAAGGTGTCTGCAAAAATTAAGTCACGCCAGCTGACCACTCCCTACCTCCAACCTTACCAACTTCTTCAAAAAACTTCTAACAATTTGAAAAGGGGACAACGGGATGGTAGAAAAGCATGCGGCTCAGCCACAGGAGGGATCATCTCAAAGTTCAGAGCAGGTACCCAGCTCACAGATAGCTTACCCAAGAGTCTAGACACTCTAAATTCAACGGAGCGTGACAAGCAAGATGATTGCCCTCAAGGGCAGAAGAGATTCAGCCCTCCAAAGAGTAAGAAACTCACAAAGGAGGGAAAAAGTGAGTCTTTGGGGAACCTAAAATACCGGTTCTGAAACCAGAACTGCATGTTGCTCGGGGTAACAAAACGGGTAGGCAGCGTCACAGGGTTTGGGTACACAGTGAAACCAGACTGAGTTACAGTGCTCAACTGAAATTGTTTCACGATACTGCCACAACCATCGTGTGAAAGTGCTTACCCCATCCCAAACACAAACGCCGTGCGTTCTCCTTAAACCTGTTTTGTAACTTCAAAAAGTAGAATCACCAACTCAACCAAGTTCACTCATACCCCCCCCACTTTGGAGATACACAAAAAGTAGGTTTGAGAATTCTGACGTCTTTTTTCTGTATTAATGCCATTGTAAAAACCCATAGTTTGGTCTGGCATTACGCACAGTGGGGTACCCGGTTTAAAAAAATAAATAAATAAACTACATACACATGCACGCTATAGGCTTAAACGGAGATTTGAGAAAGGTGAGGATTATTGTCGGGACATGGAATCATTCCCAAAGGAAGAGACATTTTAACTAAACAGGAAGGGATGGATGGATGATCTCCACCCAACAGAATTTTCCTCCAAAAAGAGGAAAACAGAACAAGCCAAGGCATAACAAAACCCAGCGAAGAGATGAGCAGAATCACCTGTTTCTTCTGTCCTGCCAGAAATTGTTCTCTTCCAACTGACCTCAGCTCAGGACCTCCTGGTGCAGCTGCCTGGAGCCCATCTCCGTTCATCCTCAAATATCCCAAGGACACCCCATCCCAGAGCAGTCAGCTGGAAAGCACACGCTCATGGAAACCCATCCAATACCAACTCCACAAAGCTTTCTACAGCAAATTAGCCTGATGAGAGAGGGGTGTTTCAGTGTTTGGCTGGATCCGTGTATTTGTAAGCCTCAGTTTCCTCACTGTCTTTAGATGTTTAATCAGCGGTGCATGACAAAAATGGCCAAAGACAGTCTCCCTTTGCCACCATCCCATTCCCTTTTGCATGCGGAGTATCCTCTCCTTCCCTCCAAAAATTATCATTAGGCCCTTTGCATCCATTTATGAACTTGAGAATGAAAATTAGGAAAATATATAAAGAGAGGTCCTGAACTACATACACCAGCCTCCGCATCACCACAAACCCACACTGGAGGACTCCCCTCACTGCCAAGCACACTCCAATACGCACGGTGTTGCACTCAACACTAAATCTCCGCTCAGGTAAGAGCAGCACCAAGCCTTTAATGGGCAGTATGGTCTTTATTCTGGCACCCGTGCTTACATCCTCTTTAAACAGCAGCTCTAGTGCACTGCATCCGCAGGTAATATTGCGATTTTCATTCCCTTTTATCATGACACGATGATGGCTGACAGCCCCTTTGGAATCGCGACGTTCCTTGGCTAGCGGGTTACCTCTCCAGGCTGAGCTCTGTATCAAGGGTGGTGGCTTTTGAAAATTGATCTCAGACTTGATCTGAACCTGCGCTTTTACAAGGGAAAGTATAATTTTTAGTGTGATGTGTAAGAACAGCTGGTTTATTGTCTGCACTTCTCTTCGACGTGCATCCAAAAGGTACTCAAAATGAACAAGAAGACACATCTTAACCTCATGTTTTTGAAAAAAGCAACTTGATTTAGATGGAAAAGATTGTTTGAAGCTGCATTGGGTCTTACCACCACCACCATCACAGTGTGTAAGGAACTGGACTCAGCTCATCATTAGCTCCAGTTCAGCTCCCTGCGTTTTCCAAACTGTTTGCACATGTATTTTCATCTTACACTACTCTGCCTGAAAAAAAAAATATTGAAAAGAGAAAAGAAAAAGGAAGAAGCAGCTGCCTTTCGCTGAAAGCAAGACCATAAGTGTTCCGGCCAACAGGCAGAATTTAAGATCACCAGGAGAAATATTTCTCCTAAAGGATTCCCCACAACTATTAGCTCAATGTTTTATGAAAGCAGGGAAATGCAGTAACACGGGACAACACTAAATGAAACATAAACGGACCAGAAACCCAAAAGCCCGGGGCGATAACTGAGGAAAAACTACAGCACCTTGTTCAGAAGAGGTCAAGTGCAGCCGCTGAGAACTGCGGTGCGAGCCCACCCAGCTCCCACCGCGGCTCATTTCAAAGAGTTAATATTTGCTCTCTCATCAACTCACCTGAGGTTTTTTCTTGCAGGAATTTTCCTTCTGAGAAGGTGGCATCACTGGCAAGTCTGACTGAAACCAGTTCGGGGTCTCACCAGTTACCAGAGGGAGACGGGGGACTGACAGCTGTGGATTCACTGATGTCTAATAAAGAGCAAGTTTCTGCTATGGATTTAACAGAGCTCCGTTGGGCAATAAATCAACTGTGAGACCCAAATCCCCTGGAAACCTGGCTTTGTTACTTCTGCTGTTCACAGAAGAAATTGTTTTTAATCCAAACCTGTCTAATAAACAGCACGTTCAGAAAAGAAGGCGCATATACATTACCTCGGTAACAAAGAGCGTGCGCGGATCGATGATGTCCAAGAAGTGCCTGAATCTGCCATAAAATGAAGTCTGGAAGATAAGGAAAAAAAAAAAAAAGACAACAAAATGTGTTCAGTTAGAAATTGCCTTTCACCTGCTGCAGAGAAAGATTTTATTTCCTCTGCAGAACTACGTAGCAACTAAAAAGCAGTAATATAGAAGCTTTGCACTGGTAATTTGTGATAGAAAGTCTGAAAGGAAAAGATGAGGACGCGGACCCTGCTAATAGCAGCGCTGCTATTAACAGGACACCACTAGAGATGCTTTAGTAAGGGGATACCATCAAGCTGCTGAAATATCCTTTACTTTTCCCCCAGAAAAGACCTATTGCCTGCTTAACCCTCTCCTGGGAAGGGTCTCAGGCCACAAAAACCCAACCGTGCTGCTCCAGACCTCCCACGCCAAGCGATGCTGTCGAAGGAATTTCCACCCTGCAACGCCTTTAACGCCATCCCTGTGTTGCTTGTCCTCGTTCCCACTAGCACCCATCTCATGGGACCAGCAGTCCCCCAATTTTGGGAGAAGCTCATGTGAAGAAACTCCTGCACCCATACGCTACTGGAAGAAAAGGTATGTGAAATTATATTTTCAAATGCTCTAAAAAGAGTTTAAAGTCTCAACAAGGGAACGAGCAGTTTTCTCCCAGATGGGAAGAATGAGAAGGGTAAAAGATGAAATTAAGTACAAAGCCAGTTTTGTGTCTTTCATTTATTACGGAATTGTCCAGGCACTAAACTTGGGCTGGGTTTCATTGTGCCAGTCCCTACGCAAACACAGAGCAGAAGATGGACTGTGAACCTTAACATGTGTAAAAGAAAACATAACTGTATGGTTTGGGCTTGTGCTTAGTTGCCCATTTGGAACAAATCCAATCTAGATGTGCGTGCACAGGGATAATGCTCTGCAAAAGCTGGTGAAGATGCCTTTGAGGGAGCAGGAAAAAAGTGTCGGGAGGACCAGAAAGGGAGAAAGGGATCCGGAGAACTGGGAACAGGGTGTGAAAGAAAGGGGAAGGTGTCTGTGAAATAGGCTGGGAAGATCATGAGCAGCTCCAAAGGAAAGGAAAGCCGGTTTGACTCAGTATTTAGAAAAAAAAAAAAAGAATACAAAAAATTGAATTTAGGCAAGCCCAAAGCACCAGACCATGAAATAGTGCCATACTAAGAGCATTCAGCACATGTGTACATCATCACTCAAACGTCAGCCTGGATTCTCTCATCTGGATGCAGATGTAGGCTGAGTGCCAGAGCTGCCTTAGGGCAGCCTAAACTCTCCTCCGGACATCGAAAGGCCAAGTGGACAGGGGGCAGCCTGGCCCAGCAGAATTTGCAGCCCATGGCGGATGCAGAAAGGACAACCAGGTCACGGCCCCCCAGGTGCTCCTGAATATTGGGACCCCTTTGCCCTGGGCGCTCTGACGGCCACGCACAGGCAAAGCTCTTTTTGCCTCTGTAATGCAGAAGCGTGCTATAAATAAAGGACTGGAATATGGATAAAGCAGCGAGAACGGCATTTAATCACAGCCTGGCATAATTTTATGAAACATGCTGGTTCTCTGCTGAATCCATCGAGCACAGAGAAATACCGATAACACTGCCTACTTATCCAGGCCGAAATCCCTCTCTAATGGCAGTTTCCAGCCGCACTGCTGTCCACCACCTCGCGTCGCAACGCCCCGTCCTCAGCCGCTTACAGAACTCTCTGCTGTTATTTTTTTTTTTTTTTTCCATGTTCTGCGCTAAAAAAAGAAAAACCCACAACGAAATAAAATAGCTTCGCATTAACTTCAGGAACGAAAAAAAAAAAAAAAAAAAGCAGCCCAGTGGTTTTTAATTAGCGTTGATTTAATTAACACTAATTCTGGTACTTTCTAGCTTTTGCGAGCTTGACATTTTGCTGCCTTACTCGTGTTTTCAATGTAAGGATCTCCTGCAGGTGCCACTGTCCTCCCTGTTGGTAGTGCCCGAGGCTTGCCAGCGGTGCAGGGAGCGACGTGACTAAGGCGTGACTCACTTGGTCCCTCGTCACGTTATCCTGAGCGCTCCCACGTACCATCGTCCCTCTCCCACTGCCCATCCTGCCGCACTCGCCGAACGGCAGCAAGGGAACTCACAGCAGT